CTTTTTTTTTTTTTTTTTTTTTTAATTTTTATTTTTCCCCCTCCAAACAGATGCATAGTGATGTGCTGGTAAAAGAGAACATACTCCAAATCTCCTCCTTTTGCCTACAGTTAGGAAACAAAGTCCATCTTCAGCTGGCATAACCTCCCAAAGAAAGTGTGTATTCTCCAATTTAAAAAATTACAAAACTCATCTTGCCGTGACAGAATAAAAGACAGCCAAAGTAAAGCAATTTCTTTCAAGTTTTTTGTCTCCTATCCCTTTTCTCTCTAGAAAAATCTGCTCATGTGACTGGAGAACAAATTATAAAACACATCAAACTTTAACCTATTCAAAAAATGGGTTAAAAGCCTTTTTTCAGTTACCAAAAAGGCTTTTTATTTTTTCAGCCATAGGGACAGTACAAATTAATATTTTATCAGCCCCTTGCCGGTTTTAAAACAGTGAACATACGGCAGTTTAAAAAAATCAGACTGCTGTATCTATCTATTCTAAGTACAAAAAAAAAAAAATTCAACAGTTTAATGCTAAAACAAAATTAGTTCTCTAAAACCAGAAGAAAATCTTCTTTAGAGCTAGTGCAAAGACAGCTTGTATTCTACAGCAAGTACTCCAAACTATGGTATAATAATTACAAAAAATATATATAAATTGACAAAATGAGAGTGTTGGCATCTTCAGGATTAACTTGAAGCACTTTTGGATGAACTGGAGGATGAAAGCCTAGATGATGGCACGTCAACTGTCGCTCTCTTACGAGGTCCTCTTTTTGGTGTAGGCTTGCTGATACAGTTCTCAATGCTGCCGTTTTTACCAGATACTTTTCCACAGATCTGATTGACTAGACTGATTATTTGTTCCTGTTCAGGAAGTGGGAAAAACAAAACGCAAGTTAGCATCTGCTCTTTCTCCCGTCGCTTCAGAGACGTAGCGCTGCCTTTCTGACTGAAAGCACTTAACTGAGGGGTGAGGGGGGGGAGAAATCCATCTATTCACAAAACATGCGGAAGCTGGGCTGCTTATTCACAACCAAGAGTTTTGTAAAGGGTACTGTGTAGTAGTACAAATACTGCCCTTGCTGAAGCTTAAAAGTTAGTAATTTACTCATCAGCAGAACCAGAAAGGTCTTCAGCTCTGGCCACTAAGCCAGAATAAAGCAGCTGGGCTGCAAGGTTACAGTACTGGGGTCGAAATGTTCTTCAGATACAATTTAAAACCCGCTGCTGAACAAAGTTATAAATGCCATAAACTCAAATCTACAGTAACACAGCTTACAATTTACTAAAGATTTCTGTGAGATTCAACCAAAAGATTCCACTTTTTCCTCGTGACATCGTTGCCATTGGTTGCGGGATGCTACTGTCATTTAATGCTTTTTAGGAGCTCTGGGTGTCCAGGTGCTCTGAGCCCACGCGCAGAGAAAGCCGGCCTGCTGCTGCGCAGGAAAAGGGCTGCGGGTCCAGTGAAGACTACCCCAGAGTTAAAAATAGATTTAGCAACTGGTGTTTGACATGCAGGTTATCTCTTTCCCCATTCACAGCCCTCAGAAAAAATTCTGTAATAATAACCAGGCACACCGCTAGTATCTTTCAGAAATGTAGAAACTTTGTGACAGTTTTTTTACATTTGAAGAAAACCATCATCATCCTCCAATCTGGTACTGAAGGAGAGGTTTTCCTGCCTTTCCCAATGCAGCCTAAAATAGCTACTTTGTAATTATAAAACCCGGCAAAAATAATTATTGTATGTGATGCTCTTGGAGAGGGTGGCTTTGAAATCCTCAACAGAATTAACAGATCTGCAAAAATACAGGATGTAAGGGACTGAATAGTCTCAAGAATAAGTGAAATACATTAAAATTTCTGAATAACTTCCTGAAACCATTCGGTGTTTTATCGCATTACAAAGGCGGCTTCACTGTTGTCTGGCCTTCTTATGTTGTGCATGTTTCTATCTACAGTACCAGACACGAGAACAGAAAATGAACAAGGCCACAAGGACATGATCTGCCCCAGGCTTACTTTGACCTTTGGGGTTTTCTTTCCCCCCATACCTCTATGCGCATACATCAGAAACTGCTGAGAAGCCTGCCTCAAAAAGCTACTTGTACCAGCCCTGCTCTTGAAGAGCTGATTCTCTAATTTGTCCCACTGCTTCACTACCCACAGCTCTGGCTAACCACCAAATGCTCCCCCCCACCCCCCTTATCCCCTCGCACACAACGGAGCGACGGAGCCAAGGCGGCAGGCAGAGCGGCACCACTTGGCTGTACCAGAACCCAGGCACCGTCCTAAACCACCAGCTGGAGTTCTGTGATGATTCATCGTCACATCTGCTTGAAGCCATTACTGGACCTCTCATCTGCAAGTACTCTAAAAGTTTGCCTGACAGAAGGTTCAGGCTGGACTGGAGTGAGTCAGCGTGAACGTTCAGTTACCAACAGAGAGAAGTTACCCTACAGCACAGAAGTAGTCAGAAATGAACCAGTCAAGGCATAGCTTCATGTTCTACAACACCCCAAAGCATTAAATGGCTCCTCTGTTCTGTAACACACATTCGTGCAGTTTATGCTTCAGGTTTCGTCTTTGCAGTCGTGTTTCCCTCTATTTCTTTTCCTTAGCTCATAGTAAAGCGCCTTCTTCCCACACCGGAAAAACCCCAAAGAGCAAAGGGGTCTCGGTAGGGCAAAGGCAAAGCTGACTCCCAAGTTTTCAGTATCAAAGCTCCCCAGCATCGCAAAGCTGCATCATACAGACCTCGTCGTAACGGTACATCATTTTCAGTCCCCGACAAGACTTCTGTTTCTCCACATGCCGCAGGGCACACTCCAAGCAGAAGACAACATTTTCATTTTCCTGTACAACCTATGTAAAAAAGCAGGGGGTGGGGGGGAAAGTGCAGTGAGCTCCAAACTGTAGCCATGGTATGCACAGAGTATTGAATTATGTGTGAATTATTAAACCTGCACTTTACTACATGTTAGTGGAAGAAGGCTTAAACAAGACGCATTACACATTGTGAAATGATTCAGAATGTGCAAGAAGAAAGTACATATCCCTTTTTGAGTACCAATGCTGGCAAATACATACAAATTTTTAGAAAACCACCAACAGTAATGAAGGCCATGATATAGGCATAAAGCTTTATTGGGATCTAATATGTAGCCTGAGATACCCTGAGAGCAGGCGTTTTCCATTACTTTAAATGGAATTAAATTAAATAAGGATAAAACCAGAAGCTTAAGCCACAGGATCCCTCAGCTCCTGTCTCATTCAGCAGAGGTCACATTTGCTCAGCTGGCTACCTGCCAAGCCTGCACCTCCAGCTTGGAATCTGATAACCAAGTTGACTTTTTGTCGCTCACTACTGTGAAGAGTGACAAGGAAAAAATCCTTCCTTTGGTTACAGTTACTCCAGAGCAAACGGACCAGAATTTAGAGGTTTTGGTTGGTTGGCTTTTTTAAACAAACCCATTTTAAAGTTACTTCAGGCTAGTCCTGCTTAAACGTTTTAGCTGCTCAGCGATCTAAAGACCGGTATAAACTCAGCGTATTCGATCCATGGGAAGGAAACAGCTACATCTCATCATTTAACAGATTGTATTTCCATCAAAACCCTAACATTTATAACCAAAAACCCGGAAAGATGACAGAAAAAAGGACTTGAGTGTGGACTGATGGACTGCATTAATGTTTATTTAAATACCCGATCTTGGGATTAGGTAGCACCATACGGTTGTGGGCCGGGCTTTTGGTACTTTTAATGAAATCGCTGTCTGGGTGTCTGCAAACACCAAAAAAACTGAAAGTGTCACTACAGTGGTTAGCACACCTTCAAAAGCCAGCAGGCAATTACTCCTAGGAAGAGAGAAAGTTTACGGGCCTGACTTCTATTTTGGAACAGACAGGTTGGCAAACAGCATCTCCGCTTGATAGATGGGCTACATCTACCCTGCAGTTCGGCTTGCAGGGAAACTGTCGCAGCACGGGCTGCACTTGCATGCCCGAGACACGGGGCACGCAACTGAGTTGCTGGCTCACCCCGAGAAGCGTTCTGCCACGACCTACTACTACTGGCAACCTGCAGGTATCTTTGTTACTCCTAGTGCTATGCAGACACGCTTGTGGGTGTCCAAGAGTGGCTGAGCGGCTAGTTTATCCCTTCGTTCCAGGGGGAGGGAAGCTAGCCGACTCTAACCGTTGTCTCCAGTCACCGCTGCCCAAGGCAATAAATGTTCTGACACAAACCAAATCAACCTCTCCACGTCCTGCGTGGGCTGTGTGAGACGGCTCTCTGGTCATGTGTGGTCTCTCAAATGCTTAGAGTCCATTACAGAGCGTTAGCGCAGGGCGGGCAGTACCCCCGCGGAGGTGAAGGATTTTACTCACCATGGACAGGTAACACAGGTGCTGACAAATCTGACACCTCCTCTCTGATGTTTCTAACTGCAACCACTTTCGAGGCTTTTTCTTTCCATCCATCGCCGTGCTGCTGCTGTCCTGGCTGCGAAAAATGGGACCCTTGCCTCGTAAGGCGCCCGCCGCTGCCTCAGCTCCGTGTCCCTGTGAATGTTTGATGCAATCAGACATCGGCATCGCCTCATCCCACCACAAAGCCACGTACAATCACCCTTTTACCACGCTCATCACCGAAACCTCAGCTGCCCACAGCAAAGCCCTGAGTGTTGTTGGAGGCTGGTGCCGTCCCCTACGCATGGCGAGAGACAGCCAGCACAGACGGAGACGCTGCCTCATCGCAAAAGCTATCTCCGGGTTTTAACAGCGAGCACTGTATCAAGCCAGTGGTTCTCAAACTGCTCCATAGAGAACTGGGGACTGCTGAGTGCTTCCTGGAGGTCGATGGGCGCTCAGGGCCATGTGGAGAAGTCGGGAGATGTGGCTAACTGACTGTCATTCCTGAAGTTGCCAAAAGCCACCTTGAGGAGGAGGAGCTGCTGCTGTCAGGAGTAACACAACCACCTTCAGGAGGCAGAGGTGAACCAAGGACCTGCTGCCATGAGGTGCTTCAGGCAGGAAAGGGGAGCAGGGCAAGTGATTTTGCCAAAAGACGAAGGTCTTGCTGTACACCCAGGGGAAAAAGAAGGAGATGTCAATTAAGTGTAAAGACTAAGCCCTCCAGCCGCCCTTCACCCACGGTGTCCGCAAGGTGGACAATACTTCCTATGCCGAACTACACAGCATTAGGAAAGCAGGTTGGGTTGGAGCCGAGTGGAAGACACAGCAAGTGTGGAGTGAGCCGAGCAGATGGAAGAGAATAAAAAAGCTCACCACCAGACACAGCTGAAGATGGGTGGAGAGCCAAGCTAAGCAAGTGGCATGGGCAAACTGAGCAACCAAGGCAGATCAGGAGAGGAGGCAGCAGAAGACACAGAACAAACAAGCAAAACAAAACAAAGGAAAAAAAAATGGTACAGTGTTCCACTTTGGTTAGGTTTTTTTCCTGTTTTGTTGTCTGGGATTTTGTTTTACATAAGCAGCCACAGGAAGGACCGATATCCTCCAGAGAATTCCAACCTAAGCATAGGAACAAGTTTGAGAACCACTCTGATAGAGGTCGATGTGGTGGTCTAACAGCAAGCACCAACATTTCTGTTTCACCTTTCTCACTTGCAGACTTTTCCTCTTCAAGGGGAAAAAAGAAAAAAAAAAAAGCAAAAAGCACTTGGAAGTGGTTATTCCCACAGGCGAACCAGCTGCAGGTAAAGCAGTCAGCACACCTCTGTATTTCTTTCTGAACATTAAAACAACACATGGGCTGTTTTCCCCTTCAATATGTCACTGGAAATTTTCCAAATGAACATGCTAGTTAGTTAAATACAGTTTGCGGATTCCATTCATCAAAATTTTCTTGACATCTCGAGTATCAGTTGTCACAAACTTGAAAGATAGGTAGGAACTACATGGTAGGGAACAAAAGAGAAGATCATTACACAGGAAGCCAGGCAATATTATATTTTCTTTTTTTACCTATCTTAAGAGAAACCCTAAACATGTTTCCTTAATACTGGAGAGAAAAAGGAGTGTGAGGGTTTGTTTTTTTTTCTTTAAAACATTGACGGTTCTAATGCAAGATGCATTAGCACCCATGCATAAACTGCTCACTCAGTGGTTTAAATCAAGACAACTTTCTGTATACAAAGTACCTTCTGTACTGCAGTATAACAATCTTGATGCTGAAGACAAGGGTTCCTGGTGCAAAACCCATGACAGTCATGGATTTGACAGTAGCTACTGATACCAAGAGGTTGAAAAATTGAAGAAAGGTATTTAACCGCCTTGTAGCACCACGTAGTTCACGTAACGCATCAGGAAATCTTGACTCTCAGCACCAAGAATCAACAAAATAAAAACCCAAGCCAAACCGCAGTTTTAATTCTTTGACGGTGCCCAAAGTAGGGAATTCTTAGAGTAAGACATCCTAACCACCGGCACTCTCACATCAGTTACAGCCAAGGAAACTGCTTCTTCCACACATGGCTGTCTTCACGTATGCGTGCTGGGCTTTTGCTTGGTTAGGTAGGTGCAATGCATGCGTCTGAAATGGTTACTTACGTCATCCACCTCTGGAGTCTGTCAATGAAAACAAAACAGGTACAGCACGCCCCCAATTCGTTACCTGAGCTCTCCAAGGAGTGACGATATCGTACTCAGAGTCGGTCCATTCTCCTTTTTAGCTTCTGCTGTTGCAATCTGATAAAGCAACTTTTCCATTGAAAATGGTTTGGCTATACGTCGTCTCTTCATTTCCTGGGACAGAAATTGCCAAATTAGTTAAGCAACTTTGAACATAAAAAGTTATGAAGAATTAATTCACTGTAGCGAAAAGTAGCCTCTTAAAACAACCAAAAGTAAAAGCTTTCCCTAGTCTGAATCAAACAAAACATTTACGTTCCTAACTTACATCCAGCACCTACCTTCACATGGAAATAAATGCTAATTACAAGTCAGTCCTTTCAGTGGAAAGTCAGATGCCCAAACACTTTGCTGATTTGGGTCACTTTTTACTGATGAAAGAACTATTAAAGAAGATTTTCTGCACGTGCTTTAGGTGAACCAATGCCACAGAACAAAACGCGAAAACCTAAACGGAACGCAGGCTCTCAGACAGTCACGGGGAACCGCCTTCCCAGGGAAGATTTGCTGCCTCTTACAGCAAAGGTGGTGTTTTCTTTGAAAGTCACCAGTAGACAGCAAAGAAGTATCTGCAGTGCACGATGGCATACATGCTAAGAAATCCATCTGTATGCTAGCTTCATATGCTTCACTGGGAAATTTAATGCAGAGAAAAGATAGGCAAAGTCTGCGTATGCAAAGAGAATGAAGCAAAATGGAAGTACTCCAGTGTCACCACATTTCAGGTACACCCTTTTTTTCAGAAGAGAAAATTAAACTTCATCAGAGAAGACAAGGATGGGAGACATGTCAAGAAAATGAGAAAAATCAAAGGGATGCCCAGGCATAGATTGGCATGCAGTTCACTGAAGTGGAGGAACCAACAAACACCTCAAAATTCTGTCCCTAAAAATTCATTCTCCTTGTGGAGGCCCAGATGAGTAACCCAATCACTTCAGCTCAGGAATGCAGTATTACTTGCCCTCTCGGCTGTCCAGTAAGGTCTATTCTTCTGACCTGCCTGAAAGCCCAGGACTTCTGTTATTTTGCAGCTTTTAAAACATCAAAAAGACAACAACTAGCAAAACAGGCAGCTGTCAGGGAAAAGAGACAACGGGCAAAAGAGGGGGTTTCAGTGCTGCTCAGTTTCACCTGTTACTGGCTCCTCTCTGCATAAGCCTTTAAAGCTCCCTCTTTCATTCCTGTCAATACGAGCCGAGTGATTTTGGTATCTTAAACTCTTGCAATAATTCTTATATAGGCAAATTCCTTAATTTACTGTGCAGTTGGGAAAAGTCTACAGTTTTTCCAGTCTCTGAAGAGGTATGTTTTATTTTATATAGAGTCAATAGAGTTTTCAAATGACGCCAACACCGGAGTGTAATGTCAGAGTGCCATTTTGTTTAGGGGTTAAGCCCACCAAATACCTACTTGGCACAAGCAAAACTGAAGATTCATCTTTAACCGTAATTTTTTTCCACACTATTTTATAACCCTAATTATACACTCTTGGTATTTATCAGAACCAATATATCATAAAATTCATCACTTTTAGTAGCACAGATTTCATGCATTGAAGTGAGAACATCATAAAATGGATTAGTAATCTTTGTTGACCAAAAAGCGTTCAAAAAAGGGTCCACAGGTAAGAAAAGCATTCCTCAGAAGCTATCTGCTCCGCTAGGCCCTGCGTGGGGGGAACAACTGTACTTTGAGGAGTAGCATTAGAAGTTTTTTGCGTGTTAGATTTGCTGAGCACACTGTCCGAGGCTGCATGAGAACAGCCACTCCAAGCCGGACCAAAAGCCCACACCGGCAACACGTGCAACCAGGATAAAAGGCCACAGCGGGTGGCAGGAGGAAAAAGCAAGGTACGCTGCTGCTGGCTGGCAGCTCGGGACAGGTCTGTGTGTGTGTTTGGTGCAGCTCGCTGGATCTGTGCATTTATCTGAATCCATGTACATTTTCCTCTTCCACGCAGTACTGAAATACACATATAAGTATTTTAAAACAGACTTTTGTTTGCTTTTGACCTGTTGCCCAACAAGTTCTTTTAATGACACATCTTGCAATGTTATGAAAGTCTGCGAACATTCATATCATAATTATCATCACCCTGCTGCTTGTGATCTGTTCTTACTATCCTATACATCTCTTGGTCATTAATTTAGAGGACGAGTAGTCCTCTTATATTTAATGCAGAAGCTAAGTCATACCTTTAATCATCAGTATCTGCCACGCTTTTCCTAGTTCCTCTATTCCTTTTGCAATTAGGGACTCAGAATTGCACAAGTATTCAGCCATGGCCACACCAAGAGCCTACACAGTGCCATGGAGATGCTTCTGCTCTGTTCTGTCTATTCTCTCCATGCAATTCCTCACATTTAAAATTTTTTTATTAAACCTCTCCAGAGCACTTGGCTGGCAGCTCCATAGGAATCCAAAGACCTCTTCTCTCAGTAGCAAGGGCTCGTTCGGAGCCCATCGCGGTGTCTGTCAAATTAGAATTATTTTTTAAAATTTAAAATTTATCAAGACTGAAGTTCATCTACCATTTTCTCGCTCAGATCACTCAATATCATGAAATCTTTCTGTAACACCTCATAGCTTTTATTTTTGCTGTCATTACCATTAATATCCTCGGCATAAAGGATTAGTTTTGCTATTCACTTCTCTTTCTAGGTTATTTATGGATACGTTGAACTGTACTGGTCTTAGTACAAATTCCTGAATAATGCGGAAAAAAAACCTCCCTCCATGATAAAAACTGACCATTCATTCCTATCCTCTGCTTCTCTTCAAATCAGTTGGTTATCTGGTGGGTGAACTTCCCCCCTCAACCTGTGGAAGGTTCATTTCTTTAACAGCCTTTTCTGAGAAACCTCACCGACCGTCTTCCAGAAATGCTCACCGACTCTGCCACCTGGACCTCTTTTGTCCAGACATCATTCCGCAAGTTTCCAGGCTTGTAGGCCATGACCTCGCTGCAAAAGCCATGTTGATAGCCCCAGTCTCATTCTTCTCTACATTTACTTTGTCTTTTGGCCTTCAGCAAGCTGTTCTTTGAAACCTCTTTTTGGTCTGCATTTGTGTGTATGCTAGAGTGGTTGTTTTATTTGCATTTTCACCTTCTGGACACAAAAGGGATTTTTCGGTCTCATTTCAAACAGATTCCTTTCTGCTGGTGTTTAGCCGTGCCAAGTTTAGTGGGGGCTTGCCTTTTGAAATTTTATTTTCACTAGCCACTGTACATGTGTTGTGAGCCTCCAAGACAGCATCTTTAAACAATTTCTATGCTGCACGCGAACACTTAACCCTTCTTTCTGCATTCTCAATTTAACAACCTTCCTTGGGTTTATGCAAGGCTGTCTTTTGAAATGAAACACCCCAGTAGTGGGTATTTTGCGTTTTACTGCTCTTTCAAGGTTCTTCATCTCCGCTTATCATCACAGCGCAGCTGTTTGCTAGTGATGTTTCGAACTGGGCTCTACCACTGCCGAGAAGCAACACGACAGTTTCTTCTCCTCGTGCGGATTTCCTGGCTGGCTCCCTGAAGCCATCTCAGTTCTGGCATCACACCCCCAGCAGCCGCTACCCTAGCCAGGGGGAGGAGACCAGCATTCCCCATTATCATCCTATGTCCTGTCCTCGCAGCTTCCTTCATCTCCTTTAGCATGACACAGGCTACGTCTACAGACCATCCAGTAAGGCAAAGCAGGAGGATCGGATGTGCAGAGCGATGCAGCTGATGCTGAGGACCCAAACACCTACACGATGTGCGTGTGTAAAGCCGGTGGCTTTATGTCAAAGCAGTCTAGCCCGGTCCTGTGGCCACTGCACCACCGGTGTTTGGAGGACATCAGGCGCGTTTCTGGAGTGCCTGTTCCCATTTGGTTTCACCTGAAAGCAACCCGGTTTGCTCTGACTGCTAAGACACCTCCGTGTTTTTTACCAAGGAGTGATAATTGGGGGGGAGGGGGGAGTTAAAAGCAAATTCCTCACCCAAACTAAACCTTGGGGGGGAGATACCTATAAAGCCCCTGCCAGCATCTTGGTTGGACAGTCGGGAGTCCAGTGCTAATACCATGCTTTTCCTGTTCAGGACAGGAACATCAGTGCACAGAGATTCTGTCACTAGCGACAGAGTTAAACCTGGCTTGTTTGGCCGTAAACTCTCTTCTGTGTGCAGCAGTGCTGCTCCAACAGGATGACTAACTCCATCTTCCTCTTGTATTACCGGCCAAGTCTCTTCTTCCCACCAGGTTTCTGGTAGGCCCTATACCACCAAAGCCCTCCTTTAAAATCAGGCATTCCTTCTTATTTCTAAACCTCTAGACCAGTGCGCATTTGTTTAGTCCAATATTCTGTTTTCTTTTTCCTAAATGAGTTTTACTGACTTTGCCCAGTGTCTTATTTGAGGATACGGAGTTACCCCTTTGCCATCCCAAACACAAACTCTTCCACCACACCTGCAAACCTTCTCATCCTTAGTTTAAAATTTCTAGAGCTCTTAGGGTGTTTTTTTAAAAGCCAGCAACTTGGTTCCATGTATGGTTTAAATGAAACCTGTCTGTCCCTTTACACAGGCTTTATACAAGCTCCTTTATTCCAACAATGATCCCAACTCCTTATAAACCCGAATCAACGCAATTTCAGATGCAGAATTTCATTTTTCCATATATTAAAGGAGACTGAGCAGTCATTCAATACATGAAGTGAAACAACATTGTTTAGTAATATAAAGAGAGTCACTATAAAAAATCAGGTCACGGTATCACAGAATGAAAACAAAGTTAACGCATCAAACAGCTGAAAATTGTCAATATTGCTGTTGAGAACGGACAGACAGAAAGGTACAGATGTTTGTCAGAGAGTTCAGGAACAGTCCAGCAAGGGAATCTTGCTCGTTACACAGAACTTCTCTCAACCTCTGAAAAGCACAAACCCGGCCAGCCTTTGAAAACGGCAAAGTGCCTTGTCAAAGGGAAGAAACCAAGGAAGAATTTCCAAAATTTAAGGAAGTTAAGAACATAGGATAGTTTAAGGAAAGAAGAGGGGGAAGGAGCCCACAAAAAGAAGGAAAACAACAATGCAGTAGGTGTTTCTAGAGTTATTTTGCTATAAACACATATCTGTGGTTCTTGCAAAGTCTGTGAGGGCTGTGACTTCAATTTCCAAGGTAGGTTGTCATAGATTGGAATCTGCTGGATTTTCAGTCAGCTTATATTTACCCAGTGCAAAGCTCTTAAAAATTAATCAAAAGAAACTGTTCTTCAGAATTTGAGGCACCAAGAAGAGCTTTTTAATTGCTGCATAGTGACTTCTGTCTCATACAGGAGTGGCATTTTCACAATATCAAACAAGTGTTCAGTAGAGCAATAAATACAGCATATGGAGTTAATATAATTGTGTACCTTCAGACAGAAAAGGTTAGCTCAGAATTCTCATTCCTTACCTACACACATATACAATTCCCACCTTCCCCCAAAATAAATCTGTAATAAAATAACCTTTTATTTTAAACTAAGTTAATATACAGTCAGTATAACCAGGCTGGGAAGAATTTCATTTACCCTAAAGAACCAAAACCTAACTGTGGACATCATACACTTAATTACTTACTAACCACTTGGTCTGAAGCTGTAACTGATGATTTACTAGTGGCTTAGCTATAAAACACGACCAAAATAGCATCTGTAACCCATAGTGTATTTGATGAGGCTGGGAACACAATTAGTGACATATATTCTTTGTCCAAGAACAGAGAAATGTAGCCAAAATCATGATGACTGGGCAATTCACCTGTCTGTTTCTGCAGACAACCTGCCTCAGCTGTGGGAAAAGGGAATGGGAGCTGTGGGAAAAGGGAATGGGAAGTTTGTTTTTTTTACAGCTCAGTATCAGATGGGCTGGTCAGTGAACCTAGGGATTTTCAAGTTGATTAAAATTGAAATTGCCCTGATCAACAGCTTTTCCTGAATGAAAGGGCAGAGAAAGACAAGCAATACAGCTGTGAGTATTAATTGACTCTGCCTATCATAGGAGCTAACAAGCACAGTTATTCAGATATTTGCACCTGAGATTCTAATGGTTCTAGAAAACATCACTTAAAAAAAAATTAGTAAGCATAATACAATATATTATCATTAGCTCTGAAGGGATTTTTGAAAAGCTTCCTTGCAAACCGGTCTGCAGGCATAACAATCTTCTGGATTTTTCAATTATACAGAAGTTTTTAGCTATCAGTTATTACCTCTGTTGCTTTTCTGAAAACACTGGATCATCGTATGCCTTGCAGAACTGTTTCCTTTTCTTATTTAGTAGTCCACACAAACAGCCATAGTCGTACTAGTCTCACAACGCTATCAATCCTGGAATGTCTGGCTTGCTGTCGTTTCAGATGGCAGGGCCGCGAATCCATTCTAACTCCTGTCCTCAACTTACCTTGGCTGTCTGAAAGCCCATGCTTGTCCACTGGGTGGTAGCGAAGTGCACCGTTTCCGACACGCTGTAGCCACAACAGACCTTCGACACAAAGGAGCCAGGAAAACAGACGACAAACTGCCCGCTCTGCTGTACAGTACGGTGCACCCTGATCCCCTCCTTACACAAGATTTCCGGGGAGATCTAGAAGGGCAGGAAAGCAAAACAAACAACAACGAAAAAAAGAGAGAAAAAAATCAGGACTTTCTTTTGTAGCCAGATCCCCTTCCTTGCTGAGTGCTGCCACAGGCTACTCGTTGTGGAGCAAAGCTGCGCTCTGCCAACAGCTCAGCTCTGTTCGTGTTCTCTCTTCCCTTCTGCACTGCTGAAGCTGAGTGTTTGGAGTGAGAATTACAGAAGTGGCTCTTCTGAAACCAACACTTTAAACTTTCACTGGCCAAACAATCTCAAACACAAAGCCTCAAAACAATACTATCTACTACTACAGAAAGTAACCCAGGCCGTTCGGTTTTTTGACATGGCATTGAATGCACCTTGCTACTGCACTTCTGTCAGAGATGCTAACATGGATAGATGAGGGAGTTGTTTTTGTTGTGGGCTCCCAAATTTATACTCCAATGCACTAAATGGAAATTGTTATCCACAAAATAAATAAGGGAGCCAAAAATACTCTGAAATTCTTTGAAGTATTAGGCTTCTCATACCCATGCTGGCATCATAAAATGTCAATCATGGCAGATTAATTGATTACAAGACACCCCCTTTCTGAGGTTATGGACAGTATTAAACACGGGCATGTACTGCACTGTCACATTTACTTTTATTTCAACAAATTAACAGGTGAGCCTTGTTAGAAAAATGCCATGTGAGTAAACACTGCAAGTAGCCACATTTTAACAACAGCCTCTGCATCATTGTAGTGTAAGAAAAAACCAAAATAAATCCCCACACAACCAGCCTTCTGATTAGCCTTGGGTTCTCAAATGGGAATACCTCTCCCAGTGTTAACCTACCATCACATTACTTTCAAGCATTTCCAGCCCTGGAGTGCCATTGGCTTGCAGCAGGGTATGTAGCACAACAAAGATTTACTGTCGAGTAAATAATGGTCCACAGCTACACAGTAACAGCCAATTCAGACCAGGACATTGATTAAAAGAAAGAAATTAAACACGGGCTTTCCCACACAGTTCTTTTTGGTAAAACACTGCGGATTCATGGAAAGCTGTTTATTATTCTGATCGCGTTCACTAGATGCCAAAGGATGCAAAATCCCCAAAACACAAATGTGAAAACTCGGTGCTCTGTAGAATCAGAGGAGAGAAATCAGCAATAGAATGATGTCCATTTTAATGGCACCAAAACAGCTAATCGTGGGCTGAAGTTTGCATCTCGTGAGCACCAATGTATGTTCTCTTTATCATACATGGTTGCATTTATTACCTATGCATCAACCAAAGGATCTTTTTATTTAATAACGTTTTCTGTTCATAACAATCAAGAAACCACAAATCACCCTTTCTGTTAGTACACAAAGTAGCCCAAGACCTTCTTGCCTTGCTAAACAAATCCCAGATCCCTCCTCTCCCTTGCAACCAAAGAAAGACATGACTAAGATCAACCAAAGCAGCAAGAAAGGTTGAAAACACTGCTGGGTGTATGCCGAGTTGTACATCCTCCTCTCCTTTCCGAGTCGACGAAGCAGCTGTCCTCTCTGTGCTCACTGCCAGCAGCGCTCCCTACGCAGAAGCGACGAGAAATAACGTAGGAGTTTCAGGTCTTAGCTTCACGCATTCAGAGAACTGCTGCTCTGCCGGGCAGCGAGGCAATATGGTGACAATTAGCCGCCACTCTTGCTTGCACCCTGCCAGAAGGGTAATGGGTTATGCCCACCCAGGAGACACCTGTTCCCACGATCCCGTAGTTGGTACCTGACAACTGTGAACTGAGAGGTGCAGGTTGGTGGGAAACTCGGTGCAAATCCTGGGATTCCCAAAGCTGCCTTGAGTCACTGCCATGCTGTGACATTACTTTATCTGGATTTGTTAGGCTCAGGCAAATAAAAAGCATCTCCAGATTTCTCATGACTTATCTCAGTTCACTTTAAGCAGTAAGACCTTGATCATCTGTGCCCATGCCACATGCAGACAGATGTTTTTCCAAACTTGGCAACAAGAGAAGAGAAGAGAAAGAATTTGGAAAGATTTTGGGAAAAGTGTGCAGTTTTCTTGTCATCCACTCGGTCTCTCCACCGATTTTGTCAAGCGTTCTGCTGGCCTCACAGACCTTGTCAGGATATTTGCTTATAATACGCACTAATATTAACTCCGTATGCATCACACAGAGTTATCCTGCTTGATGAGTCTGTAGGAGGCTGTACTTCCTATGACTTGAACATCTCGTTACTGTTCACTGTACTGATGATGACTTTGTCTTTGCTGATCTTCAAGATAAGAAAGAGAAGAGATGACAGCATCTACTCGTACAGCTAATTGCAGCTACAGTAAGGGCTCTAATGAGCTGGTTGGCCAGGTGTACATAGACTGACTCCTTACATATACATATTGACAATGATTAGGACCTTGCTAAGAAATCCTAGCGTTATAGACATGCGAAGTGGAAGAACCTCACCTTGACAAGGCTCAAGTCCCGAGAGCAATTTTAAATGCATGCTGTGTATCAAATACTTTGCAGTACCTGCACTGCTAACAGTGACAGCTGCAGAACAGCAGCATGTGTGTAGAGCATTGCCCTAGTTACACTGTAATAACACTATAATAACAGATTTTAAATGGTGATGAAAATATTTTAAATTCAAATCCAGAACATGTCAGAACCCACTCTTTTCTTTCAGAATCAGAAAATATAGCTGGAACAGCTGAAAGGTGCAAGCACGCAGTCCCTCAGAAGATGGGCCCCGGAAAAATCACGGGAAGGAAGCATGCAGGGGAGGGGCAGCACAGAAGTGCATGGGACGACCTGACTACTGGCAGGATCGAGGCATACGCTGCCATTTCACTCACAATTCTTCATGTGCCTATAAAAAGGGGAAGTGAGCAGCCAGCACAGACTTCTGAGTGTCTTGGGCAGAACAAGATTTTCTTCTTTTAATGGGCACTGAGGATCCTTCCTGAATAGAAAGGTTATGTCACTGATCTCTGCCCTCCATGAAAACAGAGTTCTTCTGTGCTTCCTCTTCAGGAGGTAAAGCTGAGAGATTAGACAGTGACCTGAGCAATCTACAGGTAAATGAAGCACCATGGACTTTAGCACCACAGGGATCTGTCCTCGGAAGAGAAGAATTCTGGATGCTGGGTGGACTTGGCAAGACAGAGAAGAGCTTTGGTGCCCGGTTGCCTGCTTTGTTCTCACTGAAGCAGCCACTGAATGCAACGCTGTCAGGGCTACTCCAGATATTACACCAGACCTAGTTATTAAATTAATCATTTCCTCAATAAAATCAAGTACTTTACTGCAATATTAAAAGTTGTGATGAGTTAATAATGCATGTAAGCCTGACACTTCAGCCTGGCAGCCTTGACAAAGAATAGCTTTTACAGGCAATGGAGTTTTGCTTCTTCCTTCTTAGGAGTTACTCCTGCTTACTACCTGTGTTTCACCAAGGTAACCATACGTACACCTGAAGCTATGCACTTATGTGTATAAGCCAGCCCATCAAGAAAAAGCAAATGGGTTCTTTGATTTTATTCTTCTTGGCTTGGAAAACCAGAAAGAGTAGCCTTTCCTAAAAGTCTGGCTGGCTCCATTCAAGCCTTTTCAATCCCAAAAGGCACATGTTTTGACATGCACAGTACGAAGAGTGGCCTCAGAACTTAATTACGGGAATCCTGAACATCTTCTGTTTGGAATTTGTTGTCATTTAAGACTAGATGACTGTCAGAGAGAGAACCAGACTTGCCTAAGACTTGAGGACAACGTAGCTTGCTTAGTCATTTGTTCTGACAGTACATTATTATAAAAAATTACAGACTCCTGATTCACAGAAGAGGGGGAAGAGCCATGAAATACCTATGGCAGAAAGTGACAGAAACTTCCAGATCTGCAGCATAATGCAGTGTTTACCCCTTGGTATGATCACATACATTTCTCCATTTACAGACAGGAGCTCCTGCTTTAATGGTTTCCTCCAAGCTTTCAGACCTTTTTTCCCCGGCCCACGTGCTTTCCTAGTGACAGCTGGGTCAGCACCACTGACATCAGCACCAGCTGCGAAATACGGGAGCTAAAGGTAAGGGCTGAAGTACACACTTTGCAGGTGAATAAAGTGCATTTGACACTGTCACTGCCACCACGGGGACTCCTGGATGCAAAAGGGGTCCTGCAGGCCTCCTCCCGTCACACCACATGAGGAGCCAAAGGCTTCTGTAGCTCAGGGTTCAAAAGGGAAACTGCTGAAAGCGAACCAGCTTCTCACCTTTGCAGGGAGGCACCATTTGAACAACTTTTCTTCTGGATTTATTGCGTTTTCTCTGATCAAGAAACAGTTACATTGCTTAACATTCATTGTTCTCACTGACCATCCTCTTGGGTAGTAAGTAACACTGATATCGCAGGAACCTGGCAGAAAGGCACAAGACATGCCACAGCACCTGCTGCCTCTGACCCCTCCATCAGCTGTTGTACTTCCATTGCAATCCAGCTCCTCATCATCTGTAGTAGTATGTATGCACTGAATTCAAGAAGGATTCACCATGTTCCAAACCATTGATAAGCTGAGTGATAAGTCTATTTGCAGAAAGCGTCTACAAAATATGAAGTGTAGCTAGCAGCTAACTGGTGATATCCACACTGAGACCCTAGAATCATGTGTGTAATCACATGAAAAATTATCATCATATGATAATGGTAAAAAATTCGTGAGAGAAAATACTAGGGACATGGTAGATACAGAGTTCAAGACATTTTGCATGAAATAAGAAAGCAGTGCCTATTTAGTCAGAGCGTGGATTCAACCCTTTTACAAGTGACGATACGGAGCTAGCTTGACAAGTGTCTTTCTGTCAGCCTAAGGAAAGCCTACCTTGACTAGCTGTCATTTGGCTTCCATATCATGAAAACTTTTTATAGATTAAACCCTATGTCAAGCAGAAACAGCTTATTGCTATCTCAGAATAGAGCGTGGAAGATAAAATGAAACTTTCCTTCCAGGAAAATCACTTCAGCTTATATTACATTTTCCCATTAAAATCGTAATCATACACACTGGACATTCCAGGTGAGATTCTCACGAATTCATGCAAAAGGTACTACACAAGCTGCTGTTAACGCCAGCCTACAGACGCCCACCGTGGTCAATGCGAAGAAAACAAAACACAGGGATACCTACCAAATGCAATCAGCACCAGTGTGTAAGTAGTCAATGTATGGAAGGTGATTTTGGTCTCGAGACCAGCATGAGGTAGAAAAGACCATGCCAATATTTAGCCAAGGAATTGTCACTCCTAAAAGAGAGAGATTGAAAATGAGTTTTGAGTAACTGCAGTTTCTAATTAAAATAGAGTTTGAGAGGGCATTTCAGTTGAAAATCATCTTCTACCCACGAGCTGACCCTTAAGTTTTAAGTCTTCCTACTAGACTGAGCAATTCACAGAGAATCATTTAACAAATTCAGTATTTTCCACTAACAAAATACCTACCAGCTGTTACGGTGCCCTTGAAAAATAGCTGTAAAAAAATTGTATTCTTTAGAGAATGCACAAATACCCATAATTCAAGCTCAGTGCCATTGATCAGAGGAGGCTGCTTCACGTTGTGAAGTGTACCTGCACTTGTAAACAAGTATCCTGTTCCAACTGGTTTGTTCAGGCTCAACACCTGCACAGGAGACTGAATTACGCTTTCAAATAATGTTTCCACCAGTGAATGGCAATGGCACATATGCAGCTGGAGCACTCGTGACAATTCATCTAGAAAGCTTGTGTGCTGCTTTGCCCAGTGCTACAGACTGGGTTTGCAAGTAAGGAAGTTACATGGCTCTGTCCTTTATCACCCCGACACAAAGCAAGAACACCGACGCACTAGCAACAACAGAAAGCGATACTGCAAGTACAACTGGTTCCTCCCAGGTACACGGTCTCAACTATTCATTAATTCTTTATCTGCACACCTGCCTTCATTCCTTTGAATATCACCTGCTACGTACAATTGTGTGTCTACCGGGTCAGCTGGTGAACAGAGGGGCCAGAAAGAGGGAGAAGACTTTGGTGACTACACCACCACATTTAGAGGACGCTTGTATCAGCTGGAAACATGGAACAGAGACTTGCTTACCAGGCACAGCACCAAGATGTCGCAGGATGGATCCTGTATTATTAGGAAGGACTGTGAGGTTCCACCCATGCCTGTTCGAGGGGTGACACAGAGGCAGACAAATGTCAGTGCATGTTCCTGGTGCCAACATCCCCAGCACCAAGCTGCCCTGCCCACCTCGCGCCCCCATCTCCACTCAGCACAACAGGGCAGCTGGCATGAGTTGACAAAGTGGGTGGATTTGGTGATCTTACCTTGAAAATGGTTCAGATTTTCCCACGGGAAAGCCACTCCCATGGGTGTTGGTATCTACTTTTCCACAATGGACTGCTACATGGCAATCTTTCTGTTCCACTATCCGCCAATATTCTTGCTGTGGTAAGAGAAAGCAGTAATGCATTTTTAATTCACTGAACAAGGTATCTCTCATTAAAATGTAAACCCCAGAAATGTACAGGGCTTTCATGACCTCAATGTAACTCAACATAAAACATTGCTTAAAAATAAGAACGTAAATCCTTAAAAGTAGCAATGAATTGGGAAGACAATGTAGATCCTCTTGGCTCCTGTGCTTCAGCACGTGACAAATTAAGACTTCTTTCACTCCCTCACTTCATCAACACTTCTATTAAAAATGTCAAAAAATTTTAAAAGGAAGAATCAGTACCATGTCTATCCAAACACTTGTTTTTCTCCCACACTAGACAGCCTTAAACTGCTTATGGTAATGCCTGAATGTCAACTATACTGAATACCCATACTCAATCCCCTGAAATAAAAGCTTTTACCATCCCTTGCGTTGGCCTCACCTCTACTTCCGGTACTGTAGGCTCCTTCGTGAAGCACATGTTCATAATATTTCTTGCTGTTCGGTAGAAGGTTGTTAAAGAAACAGACCTACCCTGTGGAAAAAGAAAATAAAATTAAAAGTGAAAATAAAAAAGTGTTCCTCCATTCCCCCTGGCCTCACTCTTTTCCTTATGTGTTCAATCCTAGATCACGACATGGGGAAAGAGGACGTCACCTCCAAAACACATATGGGTCTAAAGCTCATTTCTTATCTGAGGGAAAATACCTCAGAAAGTACAGAAATTTTACCAAGTCGAATCACCAAACCAACCACCTAAAAGGCCAACTGAACACTCCCAGAAGGTCACATACACTGCTTTTTCCAGCACGACACTCTGTGTTTGATAAATCCAGCAGACAGACATGGCCCAGCTTTCTACGACAAGTTGCAACGGACACTGTAGGCAACCCTACCTGCATTTTACAATCAAATCCAATACGTGATCAAAGAACCATATATCTATGCTCTTTACATACAGAGAAAAAGGTGAAAAAGGGAATTCACAGAAATGTTCAGCATCAAACTAGTACTGTATGTGATGGAAGGGGGTCACAAACAGTAGAGTTTACCAAGATTACTGTAATCACTTCCTTACAAAAACTAGTTATGCTCAATTCAATAAAAGCAGTTCAAATGCAAGGAATCAGGACCTGTTCTTGCAAGGCTGAGAAAAGTAAAACGCAGTAAAAGTGCCAAATGAGTGCACTCTCTCTTGGCACTGCTGCAACAGCTGTACAAGAGGATCTGACTTGGTCTTCTGCTTGAGCTAAACTTCAGTTTCTGGATACCTACTTTCACACATACCTGTAACACCAGATGCTCTGGGAAGCATCCTCTGAAGGCTTTGAAGGCAGGAGCACAAGAACCCGCTTGCTCCTTTCAGCCCAGACATACTGGTATGCCCAGACAGGGACACTCCTATTGCCTTCTCTGCTCCAGGGCAGAAGAAATATCCTGGGAAGCTGTCAGCCACGAGAGCTGGCAGGCACCACACTAACTGCTGTGGCCATACTGGTTTGTGGGCATCGCTGCAGGCTAGAGACTAGAACTCCTCTGCAAACGTGAAGTTGAAAATATCTTTGCCCCCTCGCCAGATCTACCACTCCTTCCTCTAATTCCCATCATGTCTACTGGTTGCCCATCTGAGCAACCACAAACTTAAAAACTCCACATAAATGAACATTTTATTACTTGGACTATTACCTTTCTAGTTTTCCAATTATGAAACAGATCTGCCAAACCACCTCAGTCTTTTCTTGTGCTTAATTTATTTAAGAACTATGCCCAAGAGTAAATTAGAAACAACCATACAAGCAGCTTTCCCCCCAGAGGCCAAGTCTATCACTTTGCCATGCTCCTATGGTTGTAACATTGTCACTTTTTTAATTGAATGCAGCATAATTAGCTGTAACAAAAAAGTTTGTGAAATGCCCAGGGCCTGGAGCCCTCCGATTCCCGTAAACTTCAGAGTTGGATGCTCTGCGATGCAATAAGCAATTTCCTTCATCTTTTAATGCCCTCATGAATCATTTATTGAGGCAGCCTTTTACAACAAAACCTCTCGTAAAACGCAGGGCCTGCACCAACAGTCGTCACACTCGAGCACAGACTTCACCGCTTGCAAACCAACACACGCTCTGCAGCAGCTTCCTCCTTTCAGCTACTTGCCTCTTCCTCTCATCTTGCACAGAAAAACAAGAATAAGGACTCATCTTCCAAGATTAACTGTGTCCTTCCAGTTTTCAGATATGCAGCAAGCAAAGAAAAAGAAAGTAGAAAAACTGAGCAGTTTAGCCCTTTAAAATTGCATTTATCCATTTCTTCCTCTATCAATACTTTGGTATATTTTTAGTCTCCTGAAAGTTGTAACACAAATGGAACTGTTGAGGGGTTTTTGTTGTCTGGTTTTATTTTAGTATTTAATCTGAGGGATCTTGTAAAATTTTCTAATGCCAGCTGAGAAAATAATTTTACATGCTGTAACTGAGCATTTTAACCCGAACACAAAACGAATTGCTGAAGAGTAAAATCCAATTCAAGATCCTCACAAACGTCTCAACAGTTCAACAACTGGGAGCTTCAAGCTACTAAGCAGAGTCGCCGTTGCTGCGACACTACGACAGAGGAAGGTGTAAGGGACAACATTTCCTATTTCCTCTCCTAGTTCTTCTCCACGGCCTCCGTGGCTGCTGGGAGAGCCAACCCACAGCACCACCACCAGCAGCAAGCCTGGAGGGAAGGCACAGAGGAGGATACTGCAACCCTACAAATGTCAAAGATGTTAAAGCAACCACAAAAATGAGCAGAAAACAGATTTCACAATAGTGACAGGTGGGAAGGAAGGACTCCTGTTAAGCAGAATCCAAAAAGGCCAAGTCCATGGCTGAGGAGAGCTCAGCATGGGATTTCCAGGACAGTTTCATGTGAGGGCTGGCAAAACTTGGTGATTTCTTCTGCGGGTCCCTCTAACGGGGCTGCTAATTAGCCTTCAGTTTGTTCTGTACAGAAACAAGTCCTATTTTCAGTCAGCTCCAGTACAGATTTTTAAAATATTTTCAGAGCTAAAATTGGGGAAAGAAGAGCGAAAACCTTGCAGCACATCCTTCTTTGATGACAGCAGTTTACTTCACGTACTTACAAACAAGGACATTTTATTGGTCAGGTAGAAAAGTCATGCGTTTAGGAGTAAAGAAAGCAAGCGCAGCAGCCTGCAGCACGCACTTCAAACACCCAGCAGGCCTTACAGCCTGGGGAAGAGCGACACTGAAAATAATTTGGGATCCCTGGCAGAAAGTCAGCCAAACACAAAGGAGATTTACTTTAACCTTGACAGGCGATATGGTGGTAACTGCTCCTGGAAGACTGGATGTCTCTTTCTAAAAACTTGTTCCAGCTCAAGCAGATGCTGACTGCAGAAATTACTGTGCGATATCCTGAATGTACGGCCTCTTCACAGTCTGAAGCATAGACTTCTCTGGCCTAAACTAGACTACAGCCATGAGTACAATGTTCTCCTCCAGCCCTCAACCTATTGACCTTTATCAAAAGGGTGGTTTGTTTGTTTGTTTGTGGTTTTTATTTTTTATTAGAATTAGCAATGTGCTTTAGAAAGAAACCATTAGAAGCCCATCACGTGTGGGAACTGTAACATAAGGACATGTTCCATTAAACAAATGTCAGATTTTCTCAGAAACGCGTTAACACGTAAAGAACACTACCCCCTCCAGACACAGGCACAGGAGGATACCATCATTCAAGAAAAACAGAACGCAGGATTAAAAGGCTTGTTTCAGTAAAGTGCCACGAAGTACCCTCTGCTTAAATCTGTAAGCCAGCATCACCTCACCTCAGTCTTATTACAAAGCATAGTGATGAACTATAGTCATTTTACAAGTCTTGTGAGTTACTCTGGTGCATCGAGATTGTTGCATAATTTCTTATTTCTACATCTTAACGCTTGCTCTAAGTGACATTACCAGTTCTCATGCACCATTCCTTCTACAGGGCTTTCCCCAAAGCGCTGCGAAGGCGAAGGTACGTGCCCCTCTCCGCACTCAGACGGACCGGGCGTTCCGCAGGGCACTCCACAGCAGGGATCTCCCCAGAAGCCCACCACAGATTTGCTTCCTGCTGTTTTCTCCCCGGTCCATCGCCTGTGACAGCAGTCCCCAGTATCTGCACTGCAGACAGGCATGGGATGGGATTCAACTGGGCCAGCCCCAGCGCCCGGGAAGCTGCCAGCACCACGGCAGACAACCCGAGGCGCTGCCTGAGCAGCTCCATGTGCTGCAGCTGTTTCGGCGGGTGGGGAGAGCACTGGCCCGCAGGCTCAGTGATTCTCGTCTCTAACAGCTGCTACGCTCAGAACAAAACTATTTCTACCGGTTATTGGTGGACTCAGACGTGGTCTGATGCTGCTGGTACTGGCAGTGATTTTTGGGCAGCAGCAACTGGGGAGCTCTCAGCCTTTTGGGGTGAAGGCCTGGGGCTCAGCAGACTCAGGCTGGTGACACCAGCTGCGTTTTGCTTGCTTGCCTTTTTTTATTTTCTCAGTCTGATTAGGACAGTTATCACCAATCCCAATCTTGTTTCTGAGTTATTTTGTATCTTCTAAACCTTAATTTGGGACTTGCACTGGAAAAGAAGATGGAGGCATTTCCCCACTAACTTTAAGGTTGTTGATACAGCTGTCAGGGTAAGTTGTATCAAATTTTTCATTTAACATCATTAAGCACAGACTATTAAGCACCGAAGTGCCACTTTCACTATTCACAAATGCTGCTGTCATTAGATAAGCTTCTCTCCAACAGCAGCATGGCAGAGGTTGCCTTTCAAAGGTGGGATTGAGGCCAGAGTCCCCGCATAAAAGAATTTTTGGGCTGACAAATCATAACAGGCTGCAAAAGAAACCTGAAGCAAGCTTTTAAAGCTAAAGTCATGAGCTCATGCAGTCCCTAAATAGCTTAACAATACGCCACTTTGGGCTATCTGGCTTCATTTCCTGGTGATGGAAGCGAGATTGGAAGGGGAAGAACAGCCTATTCCTTCACTGGGCACACACACTCAATGCTGTATTTCTCTCAAAACAGCTACACAATTCAACACAACTCAAAATTGCACTGCAAGTTGCAGTGCCAAGTCCTGCTCCAAAGTAGGAGACTGCCAAATAAAATACAGTGAAAGAGTCAGCATTCCTTCGTAAATGGATGTACTTGACATGTGGAGGACTCAGCGTCCATGTGACTGTTAGTGCTGAACAAAATCTGGCATCGTGGACGAAAATACTGTTTGCATTTCAATTTGCCCTTTCTAAATGTAGTAGTATTTCTAGTGATGTTAGTTTTGATGTGGAGCACTACTTCACTCAACAGAGAATTGCAAGAAGCAG